GTTTTCCCTTTTTAGGGATTTGCTTCATGTTTATCACTCAGCACCAGTTACCACAGTTGCTGGGCCCATTGGCCTGGGGGGTGATGTAGTAAGTGGGAGTGGCTTCATTAGCTTCTGGTGAAACACCCTCAGATTCTTAGCTGACTGATCAGCATGCTCGGAAGCTATCGGACTTTCCACTCTAGGCTAGTTGTGGCTTTTCCAGAAGCCCTAAGCAAAAGACAGGGAAGTGTTGTGCTGTCTCAGGAGCAAGTTCCTTCTTGTTTCCAGTAGGGAAGTAATTATCTCTGCCAGGCAACAATGAAAGGAACTTACATTTCTTACAGGTGCTGTCCTATTTGTAAGGGGACTGTTAGCCCCTTACTAAAACTCTATGTGAGTTTTTGGTTCGCAAGCTCCCGGTATCAAAAGGAGAAGGGTTCATGAGACTGACAGACCCCAGAGACAATGGAAAGCAGCAAACACTCCAGCTCGGCCTGATTGACAGGTTGGACAGGCCAGTGAGGAAAGTAAGAGGCCAGGCCCTGTCCTCCCTGTGAGCTGGGATTTTTCTGGGTCTCTCTGAGCAAGGAGAGAGAGCTGAGACACAGCTAAGAGGAGCAAGCCGTGTGGAGAGGCAGTCCTGCAGCAACAGAGCCAGGCACACACAGCCCAAGGAGTGCAAGCCGTGTGGAGAGGCAGTCCTGCAGCAACAGAGCCAGGCACACACAGCCCAAGGAGTGCAAGCCGTGTGGAGAGGCAGTCCTGCAGCAACAGAGCCAGGCACACACAGCCCAAGGAGTGCAAGCCGTGTGGAGAGGCAGTCCTGCAGCAACAGAGCCAGGCACACACAGCCCAAGGAGTGCAAGCCGTGTGGAGAGGCAGTCCTGCAGCAACAGAGCCAGGCACACACAGCCCAAGGAGTGCAAGCCGTGTGGAGAGGCAGTCCTGCAGCAACAGAGCCAGGCACACACAGCCCAAGGAGTGCAAGCCGTGTGGAGAGGCAGTCCTGCAGCAACAGAGCCAGGCACACACAGCCCAAGGAGTGCAAGCCGTGTGGAGAGGCAGTCCTGCAGCAACAGAGCCAGGCACACACAGCCCAAGGAGTGCAAGCCGTGTGGAGAGGCAGTCCTGCAGCAACAGAGCCAGGCACACACAGCCCAAGGAGTGCAAGCCGTGTGGAGAGGCAGTCCTGCAGCAACAGAGCCAGGCACACACAGCCCAAGGAGTGCAAGCCGTGTGGAGAGGCAGTCCTGCAGCAACAGAGCCAGGCACACACAGCTCAAGGAGCTCAGACTGGCAGTGCTCAGAGAGCCAAAAGGGACAGAGAAGCAACGCAATGAGCGGGAGCCTGGCAAAGCAGCACAGCCTGCAGCTGGGTGCGGTGAGCAGCTGGGACCAGCAAAGTGCGGGGAGAGGCTCTGAGCAGGGAGATATCACCAGCCAAGAGGCCCAGCAGGCCAGACTGGGAGAGGGGTCTGACCACCTAGAGCTTGATGCTGTGTGGTCACTGCCAGAGCAAGCGTGTCCAGCCTGCAGCCCCCCTGCAGCACATCCAGGGCCTCTAAGGGGACTCTAAGGAAGCGACTGTGGACT